CCTCGATGAAATGGTAATTCCTCCCAGGATCGTCAAAGGTCAAGCGCTCGTTCCAAGTAAGAAGAAGCACCTCAGATCCAAGGTCCATTACTTAGGAAAATTTCCAAATCCTGTAGTTAGCACTGACTGACAGAATGAGGACCCCCACCAGCGCCACAAAGACCTTAATGCGCCAGCGCCACCCCCCCCCACACCCTATCAAGACCGCTCAGTGGAATGGTGTTGGATAAACAAAAAGTGCCGAACATAAGATCCACACTTTGGGCGCGCGAACTTGCAACAAAGATCGAACAATGGAGCGGTCTAACATAGCTCTCTGGACTCTATCCCACAAAGCTTGGCCAAGAAAATTGCTCCAAGGCTTTCTGGCTAAAATGCTTCCAAGACGTGCGTATGCAAGATTTGCTGGCTGGTGCACTTCAAGACTTGCAAAACTTAATGCGATGATATGGGCTGGGACAGGGAGGCACCTTTGATCCTGGCTCTGATCTTCCAGGCCATCTCAAGGCCTGGCACGGATTGGCCGGCAGCAAAAACAAATAAACACGCAAACAAACTGCCACAGAACCGCGGAACTTCAGTGCAAAGCTGTCAGACTGATGCAAAACAGCGTGCTGCCCTACCCTAGGCCCTATTCAGCGCTCGTGGAATTCATGTCTCAACAAAACTGCCATGATCTCGACAAAGCGATGCACGTGCATACCGCACATTTTCCCCTCCAAATCCTGGTTTCCACCGCAAGCCTGTCAATCCTAAGCTTTTGCATGGACCAGTCCAGGACTTGAATACATCACGAACTGCACGTGTTCTAAGTCATAATCATGACCTTTCACGTGCCCCATCCCCAATGAGCCAAACTGCAACAATGAACCCCGGCAGTTGGCTATTAGTTTGAACATGTTTTGTTTGAACATATTGAACGTCAATGAAGAGAAACCTTGGCTCGGTCAAACACTTGGCTTTGCAGAGGTGCTCACGAAAACGGCCCTATATAAAATGCTGAAGCTCAGCGCTCACAGGATGCATCACTCGGTCTCAGCATATGCCTCAAATGCCGCTGCGTGCCAAGAACAAGTATAACGCATGAAACCTGTTCCCAAAACATTCCAAAAACAAGTTAAGCCAAAATGCAAAAGACAACGCGTTGCCTTTTTACAAGCTAGGGTACTTTTCTACCTGCCTCTGCGCATTCCTCCTCGCTCAGGCCTTGATCCTTGGCAGCCTTGTGGGCCCTCCGGTAAGCCTTGGATTTCCTTGCGTTCTTTGCCTTTTGCTCCTGCTTTTTGGTGTCGTTCTTTGCACTCTCCTTGGTCCCCTTCTTTGGGTTGGGTGGTTTCTTTGCCTTCTTCTTATCTTTGGTCTCTGCCTTCACCTCAGGGCTGGGTTCTTCGACAGGTGCATGTTCATCCTGGGCTGCATCGTCCTCGCCTACCTCAACCTTGCACTTCTTAGCCGGCTTCGACTCTTTGACAGAGGCTTCACTGTCATCTGCCTTTGAACCTTTCGCCTTGTCTTTGGCAGATGTTGAAGGCTTGGTGTTCTTCACCTTCTTGTCTCTCTTTGCCTTCTTGTCTGTCTTTTCCTTCTTGTCTGTCTTTCCGTTCTTGTCTGTCTTTGCCTTCTTGTCTGTCTTTGCCTTCGTGTCTGTCTTTCCCTTCTTGTCTGCCTTTGCCTTTGCCTTTGCCTGACCCCCATTCTTTGGAGGACGTCCCCTTTTTTGGGACTCGGATTTGCCGGCCAGCTTGGCTTGCTCGGATGGGGAGATGCATGGTTCCGCATCAACTGCTGCAGGTCTCTTTGCATGCTGGTCATTGTCGTTAAGTGAAGGTTTCACAACAACACTAGGATCACTGGGCAAGACAGCTTCGGGAATGTCCCCAGACACAGGTTCCGTAGGAATGTCCTCAGACACAGGTTCTGTGGGCGGTGTAGGCGACAAAGAATCTCCAGCCCCATCAGCACCACTGTTGGCTGATACCTGCACGGGTGGCACTATGAAGACCGCATCCACATACCTTGCGTGATCCAATTGCGCATGCATGCATATGTACTGTATATATACCCGGTATAACGTGAGCAATTCCTAGCCTGTGCATTTGTGTTCAAGGACCATGTGAGTTTCCACTCGCCTCTGCGTTGACAGGAATTGCGCCATCTTCACCGGAGGCGTGAAAAACGGGAGACTTGTCAACCTGAGACGGTGCCGGGCAAGATGCCAACACGCTAGCGTAGGCGGCAGCTTCTGCGGGTGCCATGGGTTGGGTCTCGACGTTGTCAACACCTTGGCGGCTTCCAGCATGCTATCAAGTCTTAATCATGCAGCGCAGGTTGTTTAATTTTGGAGGATGCAAAGTTGTTCTTACAAGTGCAGCTACGGTGCCATTCTCACCAGTCTTTGCTTGGTGTTTGAGTGCTAGAAGCCTCTGCATCTCCAAGCGTTCGGTCTGTAGACCTTTGAGAACGACTAGACGAGCCATCTCCTTCTCGGCCAGCATCAACTCCATGTCCAACTTCGCCCGCTTGGCCGCAGGCATCGACGGAGCTGATCCTGCGGGCACCTTCTCGGTCGCGGGCTTGGTCTTGGGCAGGGGGTTTGAAGGAGGTCCACCTAGCTCAAGTTTGTTTGCAAGTCCTGGGCAAGGTTCCTGGGCAAAGGTGGATGGGCAATCGCTCAGTGCATCGCAGTGTTGACACATCACAGCTCTTTTCAAGAGTGCGTGAAACCCGTCATTACCAATTGCCTCACAAGGCTTCTCAAGAATCTTGTCCGGTTGAATATGGGTCGCTTTGCAATTCTTGCACATGTACCCACACTTCATCAGGACGTGTGGTGGGGACTCCTTGGGTTCGGTCGCAGGAGAGAAGTTCAATCCTTGGTCCAATTAGGTCTCCTTCAAAGAGTTGGTTGCAATTGACCTAAAGTTGAACAAAACTGATCAACTGCATCTTGGGAGCTCCGAGGTGGTGGGGTGACCAGTTCTACAGCTGATTGAGCTCGCGGAAGGGAAGGCGGGGCAGGGTTCTCGCCAACACCTTGGATATCGATGACCAAATGCATGAATCAATTTTACGCGAACACGTTTGCATGTAGAGATTGCCACGATTTAAAGTAGTCATACTGCAAGAAAGGGTCATGCTGGATTGGTGGGGGGCCGCTCTTTCAGATCAGCCTCCTAGCGAGTTACTGCTTGGACCAGAGGTTGCTTACAGCTGCTAGAAATGAGACAAACACATGTTGCCAGCCTCAACACACTCATCCTCCGTCCCCGCTTCAGATTCTCCACATTCTACTCCTTCTTCAGCAACCTCGTCATCCACCGCTCCTTGGCTGTGGGGGAGGTCTTGAAACACATAGTGTAGGCATAGAAGATAGAAGCTAGACCTTAAACCAAAACAATTGCAACATATGCATCTAAAGCTCCCTCTTCTACATTGACTGAGCTTGAGCTGCCCATTGGAATCCCAATGCTTTGGAACACATCCCGGAGTTCTGGACTACGGGGTGTGTGTGGCCTTCTAGCTGCAGAAGCCACTATAGAAACCAAATTCCGAAGCACCCAGGCTTCAGTTTTTACTTCATCACCTTTGCAGCAAGGAGAATTGATGCGACGTGTTTTTATTGGTCAAATGAACCTCGATACTAACCTCGATCTATCTAAGTTTGTGACTCTTGGGGGCGGGCTTACCACGAGGTCGGCAGAAGTAGAGAAATCTTCCAGTCAGGTCTTCCAAGCTGGCCAGGGATGGACGCATACCTAGGCGAAGGTGGCGGTGTTAGGATCAACCTGCATATACAACTGGGGTTTTCTTGCAACGTCATTTTCTTGGCTGACAAGGTGCCAAAATGCTTTATGAGTGGAATCAAGAGTTCGTGGTTGTCTGCGACTGTTGATCGGGTGAGCGACTCCGTTGTGCACAACGCAATGTGTCCCTTGGTCCCGCGTTTGACCACCTCCTCCATGTTCAGCCACTCTGTCATGACCGGACATTGAGCCACACCCTCGGTCCCTTCCACAACCACCATTGCTCCAGCTATGCCGCGCAAAGCTAAGCTTGGGCCAGGTGTGCTAAGGGAAGCACGCGTCTTCAAGACTAAAGTCCAAACAGGCACATGCCCTTGAAGCGACCGATGTGCCCAGGCCTCAACGCCGACATCTTTGAAGACGTGGCCAGTGCATACCTGGAAAAGACACACAATGGTTTGGGTTGTAGTTTGGGCTGGGGTTGGTAATCCATAGGGTCTTTCAGTTTGGTGCGGGTTGGAATTGCAATGCACAATCAAACAGGGGCGCACAATGACCCCTGTATGCCAAAGAAGCTTGACTTTGTCAAGCTCATGCAGCTGCTTGATCCCCAACAGCTGCTTTGGCCGGCCAAAATCCAGTCGATTTGCAAAAAACACTCGATTTCCATAAATTTAGTCGATCTGAGGATTTATGCTACGAATTCTCAAGAGATGCTACGATAGGCCTAGGTACAAGAATTTCTCATACGAATGGTCGTCTAGGTATATTGTCGACCCAAATCCAATTGGTTTTCTTCACCGACAATGATAGACAACGTGATCGTCGGTGGCGTCCAAAGAAAAACATGGCTGATGGCCTGTGAATGAGTTTCTCTTACCGGGTGGTCATGGGTGGTCGGTGCTGCCTAGTTTGTCATATATGTGAGTCTTCCGAGCGTAATTGTTTCCTCTGCTCACATGGGTTCGATGTATCTTGTTCCCCACGAAAACAGCAGTGAGCAGCTTCCCTTACAAGGCAAAACACTAAAAAACACATGTCACCCAAAGACAAGAACCGGACCTCCACCCCCAGCAGTTCCCGCTTCATGGTCTCTCCAAGCAATATCCGACATCAATGGATGTCCACCTCTTTCCAAGAAGTATGCAACACGAATCAACAATAGAACATAACATGTTTATACTAACCAAACATGTTTTTTTGTTTTCAACCACCTCCGTTCTCTGTCCATCTCTCGCTGCTCCACAGCATCGCGGCATCGCCGCTGGGCGCCCAAACTCGAGCCGCTGGAACTCGAGCTGCCCAAGCCCTGCAGGTGGACGGAGTGAGAGACCACCGTCGTGTACAACGTGAGTGTAAGCCTGAAGGTCTAAGAACAAAAAATCACGTTTGGTGCCGTGTCGGAACATGATTAGAACATATGTTTAGAGCATTGATAGTATGTTAGGGACTCTGGAAGTTGACCAATTGGTGCCTGGTTTTGTGCAACGCATGATAGGTATTCAGAAATATATGCCATGACGTTATACCCCTCCTTTTGAATAATCACGGATGACCATGAAACCCTTCAAACATCTAGAATCTAAATTTAACAATGGCCATTCAACTCCTGTCTGCTGTTCTCTTCTGCCATTTTCCGACGCAGGCGAAAAGAACACAAGGTTTCAGAGATCCAAATACTGCCAGCCTCGTGACAAACGCGCCAGCCTCGCTGCGGCGTCCGCCGCGCCTCCAAGTACTTTGGGACCACCTCTTGATCGCCCTGACTCGGACGTGTCGCGAGCTGCATGGCAGCCATCCAACAAACAGGCTTAGGAGAGCCTATTAGCTTCTTCTTACTAGTAAAAATGCTCCTAGTAGCGATGCCAGGAGCCCCTATAGTAGCCTCCTTGCTCCTAGTAGCGATGCCCTTTGCTCCTAGTAGCTTCTTGCTCCTAGAAGGCTTAGGAGGAGGGTCTCAACTTCACCACAAAGGTGTTGGATCATATCAACATGATTCAACATGTCAGGTCACTTTGAAATGCTCCAAACCGGAACTCAGTTTACTGGTATGAAGCAAACGAGCTCCTCAGCTGTCCGAGCAAGGTGACGTACATCATCTCATCTCCCAAGTTGAAACTAAAGCGTGGGAGTCATCCCAAACTCTAGATCCGAGAGCAAAAGCTGTCCTGGAAGAAGCTCTCCAACCCACATGAAGCTAACAACAATCATTGAACAATGCCAAATGACAACTCCTACGATCAGCTCCTTGAGATGCTCCCCTCATGATGTGCATCATGATGTGTATGAACAAATCTCTGTCTCCCTCCCCTGGCCCCCTTGGCCGCCCATGTGGCCACTGTCTTGAAATTATCTCGATTTTCCTACGCATCTCCCCATGCACCTGCAAGCACGAGAGCGGCAGCTGTGGGATTTCGATCACCTTTGGATGGATGGAGCAACAGACTTTGGCATTATGGCATAGCTGTAACTCAGAAAAGAATGAGTGACACACAACAAACCCTGGTACGAGGAACAAGGATGAAAACAAAGACAACCAACCGCTGAAGAGAGTTTGGGGTTCCGTTGTTTTGAGACTAGCTGCATGTGGCACGGAACTTCCATGCGAAGCTGTGATGAGCCCGAATAGAGTTAATGCAAAGGGCCCTCTTCTTTGCAAGTGGATGGCACTTTGTCAAGGAATGTCAAGGATATCTTCAACCGAGCATGCATATTTTCTTGATACAACACTACATTTCTGGCTGAGCAGTGTTCTCCTCTGAACAGCATTGTAATACCTTTGATATGATTCTTGTGGGTCCCACCCACTTGTTCAGTTTCCGTGGGAGGCAAACAAGCAGTCCGACGTTTCTCATATTCGCGCATTCTTCAGAAAGCAAGCCTCCAGTCCATGTCACTAAACCTGGACGTGGACACCATGGAAAATAATGTGCATAATATAAATATGGGCAAGATTGACCTTGTCTTTCATCTCTCCTTCCGGCTGAAACATGGAAACATCCTCAAGTTAGCTTGTTGCGTTCATTTACCTCCTTCCAAGAGGGTAAACAACTGTCAGAAAAAAACACACAAGGTGCCTGTGGTGCTGGCGGCATAGGGACATTGAGCTGCTTCTCTTCCTGTCGCAAAGCTGGCAGTGTGCTGCCTCTCTGGTGTGGGGCGAATCCTTCGGGGAAACACTGGATTCGCCATCTCTTGACGAACTCTGAAGCAACTCCCTCCAGGCCCCAAATCTTGCAGCCCGTTTATTCTGGTTGCGTGCATGAAGTGCATGAGAGGAAAGTACCTTACCCCCCAAAAAAAAACATTATTAATATAAGAAAAAGGGGCACCTTTAATTTATAGAAGCAAGTGGTTTTGGGTTCACTACATTGGTGTGCGTCGAACTAAGGACGCACCCGAACATATATTTCACGTTTTCAGGCCTCTTCATGACACCATGAGTTCAGGGGGCTCCTTTTTGTTCGGGACTCCAATATGCTGGTGAAGTGTCCAAAAGCGCGTCCCCTGTCACTCTGATACCCAAATACATCCCAGCCCGATATTGGAAAAAAGGGAACTCGACTCAGCTCTGTGCCTGGACTCCTTCAGGGAGCACCTGGACTCCCGGCTCCTTCATCTTTTGGATCTCCTGGAGACCGGCACTCGTCGTGTGTCCAAAGCTCTCGCACTTCTCGAGACTCGAACCTCTCATCACGTCAGACCGGAACAGGAACATGGAGCTCAAATGACAAACAACATAGACTGCCTGATACAAATCCTCACAAATCAATACAAGTTTAGTATAAATCCTATATTATCACATATTAATATCTATACGTATCTCACCAACCCACTGGAAGAGCCATTCAAGTCATCAGCCAGCGGTTCCACCTGCTGCGAGGCCGCATAGGCATCGTAGATGGGTGGAATGTAGCCCTTCCGGCAGAAGCTTTCCAACTCCTGAGATTCCACCGTCCCGTCGAAGGTCACGTTGCCGAGCGGCTTAAAGCCGCACATTTGGAATTCTGGGACGGTGGACCAAACTCGAGATGTGTTACGATTGTGAAAACAACCAAATGCTCATCACTAAGCCATGAGGTAGAGCATTCCTTTTCGAACGTGTTTTTGGCAGTTGGCACGGCCCATGATCACATCAGTGGAGTTGAAGAACAAAAGCTTGGATACGCCGCCAGTGTCACGATGCGGCACTCTCGCACATGCAGCCCCCACAGCACCTGAACCTCGTGCCGGATCTTAGTGGCCTGGTGTGATGCAAGGAGGTTGGAGGAAGGCCCATGGACCATGGCCACGATACAAAGGTTGCAATGATAGTTCAAACATGTGCTTTACATTTGTCATATGTATACAGTACAGTATATATATATATATGTGTGATATGTATACAATATACGGTGCACATGAATCAATTGGTATAAATATACACCTGAGTTAGAATCCATACACCGCACACATACACACACATCAAGTATATCTAAATGAACGTGACATGACATGACGGAACGTGTTCCAAAATGTTGGACTACCCAAGCTTCTTTGCATTTCAGGATGGGTCCATCTTTGGACAAATATGGAAAAATCCCTCATGCGGCTCCCAAGGAGGACATCCAAGTAATCCAAGAAAAGGTTTTAATCACTATCACCATGGACCTGGTCCTTCCTTGATGCTCTTTGTTCCCCTCATCATGGCTTTGACACATCAAAGGATTCATCATTGCACACATCAGGCCACAAGCTACACAAGTTATAAAAATAAGTTGTAACATGTTGTAACTATTTCTGTGCCACTCCTCGACATGTTTACTCCCCACTCCTCGACGGACAAGAGTGACTTCGGTCCAAACCGGGCCTCTTCCGTGGACCGTTGAATTGAGCGATACACCTGCCGAGTCGGATCGGCGGTTGAAGGACGACGTGCCGCAAGCACTGACAAAGGTTGTTGAACATCGTCTGCAAGTTGTCGTCTGTGTATGACAACCCCATGTTTAGATTGAAAAAACATATCATGTGAATCCTCTAGAACAATGCATGGGACATAACAATGGGATGTTTCTAATTATTGATTCGGACAATTGTGCTCTTTGTTTCCTTCTGAATGGCATGTGTTTGTTTCTCGGGTATGGCGACCTCAACGGTTTCCAGCGTCTTCGGCGCCTGTTCGTACACGAGTTTCAAGTTCGTCTCACGCTCATCAGGTCCGTTGCCATTGGCCTGGCGTGCGCATGGCACGATCGAACGCATTGACACGCGTGGCACTGCACTAAATAGATTGCACTCTCTTCATTTCTGGGTGTCAAAGTCCCAAAACCAATTCCCAACGAAGCCAGGCACCGGCCGTGCAAGACCTTGACTCGCCGAGTTGGCACCTCGCGTGAAGACATGATGTGGCCCAGCAAGGTGTCCAACTCTTGAAAGGCGCCACTCGACTGTTTGGCATCCTGTCGATCGACACAGATGACGGGAAATCTGCGATGGGTTCCGGGAGATCAGCTTCTCCTAACATTCATCATTGATGTTATTATATATATATATACTTGACAAATTACAAAGCTGACTGTGTCTAGATATGTTTAGAAAATGTAATCAAATTGCTCAGCTTCTCCTAATTGTCCAACTTCGCAACATTTCCAGGTTTGGTGTCGAAATCATGACTCGCATTCATCTTTTGCTCAGAGAATCTCTGGAACACAAGCCCTAACTTGCAAACGAAGTGTCGTCCAACACTCCACGGCCTTTGCGGCTGGGTCGCTGTCGGTCAACAGGCCTCCTCCAGCGCCTCGACGGTGCGCCGCTTCACCTGGGGACGTGACGCGAAACGAGGAGTGCACGTTCCGCCCAGGCACACCACACGGTGTTGGAGAAGAAACATGTTTAAGCATGTGATCTTGGTTGGGTGTTTTTTGTGATTCGCAAGAATTTAGTTTGCAGAAGTTCGTACCGGTGGGTTTTTGTTTATGTAGAGTTTGGAATCACCGAATAGCTGGCCAACGAAGTCACCAAATCGCAGAAAACCACCAACTATGGAGGTCTACAACTGCTGCGGATAATCGCGAACAAATGGCTCTCTTGAAAGTAGACTAGTGACCAATGAATTGTGTGAGATCAAGCATGCAGGTATGGCCCCATCCGGCAATGGATGAAACAGTCGGGTGCCATCCAAGCTCACTAGTGATTGTCTAGACAAACATCTGTGGGTCTCCGAGACCTTATTTGCTGAGCCGCATCCTTGGAGAGTCTTTGGAGACTTTGGGGAGTCTCTTATCGCGGTGTTGTATGCAGGTTGTCCAAATAGAAATCATTAGAAACCAATCTGCAGGAGCATCTCGATTTCGTTGTTCATGAAATCATATTGGAACAGCAATGAGCGTAACAAAAACAGTCCCATGTCAAATCTTGGTGCCTTCGCCTGAGGAAATACACGCCATCTAAAGTGTTTCATTGTATATTTCGGCGGTGCTAAAAGCATTCATCACTTCATTTCGAACCCACACGTCCTCCACATCCAACAACCCGTGCGCGCAGCTCGGCCTGCAGCAGCTGCGCAATCAGCTCGGTGATTTGGCTGTCCTGCCGATGTGGGGCGACGGATGGTTGCGCAGCCTGCGGACGGAAGAAATGGCTCAACGTGACTAAAAAGAGGCTGTGGGACATGGCCTAAACCAGAAAATTGGCTCGTCTTGAAGCACTGGGGAGCTTACGCAATCTGGCTCAAGTGGTTGGAACCCATTGAAAGCTCTCATTCAAGCCACAAAAAGGATCAAAAAGGGCGGTATCTTCGCTCAGTCAAGGGACGTCTTATGCATACTGTCGGCAACCTGACTGACTCACTGACTGCTACTCACCCATCAACGCGGGGGTGTTGTCCCAACCCATGAATGCTTTACTTCGATCGCCTACGAGAAATGGAATAATGGTATTCGGTATCACTTCAGGATGACTAGGTACCCAAGTGGGGTTTGCAGCAAGTGATCCTCCCCTCCCACCTTGTTCACAAAGAGTTCTTGCATTCCAGGATGACACCCGAAACGATCCCAAATACAGCAACAGAAAAAAAACGGGGCGGTGAAGAAGACTAAGAAACACCACGCCAGTCTACGCCAGTGTCATGTCCAAACCAAACATGGGCAAAAAGGACGAAATGACGCCGAAAGCAATGCGTAACTCGACCTGCCTCCTTTTCCCCATGTTTCGACCTGCACCTTTCTCCACACTCGGAAGTTGCTCACTCGGTCCGGTCCTCCGCCTCCGAGGTGAGTGGCTTCACCTCGTGGACCGTCGTTTGGACCGGTCCTTTTGCGGTTTGTTTTTGGGTCGAATGGAAGGGGTTGTCAGCCGGGTGGACAGGAATCCGTTCAGGACCACTCTTATGACATCTGACAAAAGGCCCTGATTTGTTTGGCAGGAAGCTACTAGGAACAAGTGCATCGCTACTAGGAACAAGAAGCTACTAGAAACAAGGCCTGACCAAAGGCCCTGATGGTTCGGTGGCAGTGCGACCTGGCTTGCATGCTCAGCCCTCTGACGTCACAAAGTTGCAGGCCGGCATCTTTTGGTTCTGTGAGTGGTAGTGGGGCACCCGATATTATATTTAACACATGTTTTCACTGCATCTTAGATCCACTAGGGACAAGTGCATCGCTTCTAGGAACAAGTGCCTTACTAGTAGTAACAAGAAGCTATAATAAGAAACAAGAATCAAATAGATACAATAAGCTACTAGAAACATCGTTGCAAGGCGAAAGAAACTGACGAAGCGACTGGAGAGCAGCTTGCCAACGATCTCATACAGGGCCCCGGCACTGATGCTTGCTTCGCCAGTGCCCCCTGGCCGAACAGAATGACCGGCCGCTCTTCGCATCTAAAGAACATTGAGAAGAGCTATAGCACCCCAAAGGAGCATCTGGAGGCCTCTCATCTCGAACCTCGAAGTAGCCTAATCCACTTAGGAATGCAACCACAACTCTAATTGAGAGCAAAATAGATTTGCAAGAGAACCTGATATTACTGATATGGAGACAAACCCAGCATGCCCATCCATGATGTATAGGCATGAGGTTTCATCAATGAGTACAAGTATGGATTTAGAAAAGTGGTGCCACCAACCACCCATTCGCCCCCGGGCATTTCACCTGCACCAAAAGACCAATGCTCGGTCCTTCAACATACCTCCCGCGGCGGAACACATCAACGAAGCGCGTCCTTCACCACCGGTGACGGTGTCCTGGCACGGAGAGAGAAACGGCTCGGAGGAACGATGGTTGTTGGGAGGGTCCCATGATCTGACATGCTGACATTAATCTGCTTGCCTAGGACCGGGCTTATCTCCATGACATCATGAACCTGCTGCCTGCTGGCTGCCTGCTGATATCTGAAGCAATCCTTTTTCATACCAACAAGGCTAAGACAAAACAATTCTCCAAGGGCAAATATATATATATATATTATATATATATATATCCTGATCTTGCTTGTGGGTGACCCTGGGGAAGACGTGGAGCCTTGTTTGGAGCGTGGCTCACCCAGCTGTTGAAGGTCTTCGTTGTGACGGTCCATTCTCCCCTGCCCCCATGTAGCTCGTCGGCTATGATATCGCCTGGTGTCCGCTGATTCTTCTCCTGGGTCTCTGTCTTTACCAACAGTGCAGGACCTTCAATTCTCTTCAAATCCAACAGCTGCCAAACGGCCTTGCCAACCACGGGAGCTGCTTGGCCAAACGACGGACATGTTACATCCTTTCGATCGGCGCTTTCCCCCAATGAACAGCTGCCTCCGAGGTTGCCCCGACCATCGGTGGCCTCGGACCATGGCCGTGGTGGATGACAGCTTGAAGTGATGAGGTGAACATTGAGTTTTGATGAGTTTTGAATTACCTTCCGTCAGATTAACATGGACCCTGAACACCACTGAGTGGTAGATGATTTTTTAGTCTTACAAGGGATTTAGATGGACTAAGGTCTCAAGTCTGTACAGTACATCAATCTGGATCGCTTTCTATTTGGCGCTGGAATTCAAAGTCCGCCACCCGAACTGGGACGGGCCGCCTTCGCTCGACGCCAATCGCGGACGCAGGGCTGGGCGCCCGACTTGCTGGACGACCTGGTCCACCCACGACGCCGCGAGCGAGTTCGGCCGGTGTGGCATGTTTTCTCTTGGTCGCAACCGGGTTCAACATAGGACATGTCAAAGTGTTGCCATACGAACACTGGATGTTAGGGGTAAGCAACTGAAATGAACTGAGAAGGAATGCAGCTTTTGGTGAGTCTTTGACGTTAGCATCGTGCAGTTTGACAGATCTGTGACATCCACACCAAAGGCTCCAAGCTTCCCTCGGGGTAAAAGCCAAAAGTGCAGCGCATGATCAGGACATCCAGCTGGAAGCTGAAAGTTAATTCAGCAAGAAAGGAACTGCCGTCCCCGGTTTTTCTACCAGTCACTGATGCCAAGCTGCCAAGGGTTTTCAGTTTGCAGTCGCAGACCGCATACCTAAACTATAAGGGACGTCTCAAGGATTGAACCTCTTCTACCTCTCGCTTCTGAGAATCTTGTGAGGACATCCACTTTCCTTGCTGAAAGTGAGACTGAAACAGAAAAATGCGCAATGTACCAGTAACATCATCGACAAATAGCAGGAATCAATTGCCACTGAACCATGGCAGGTCCGTTTTCCCCCAATGCGACGTTCGTGCCGCCACGCCTGCTGCTACTGCCCGATGACATCACAGAAGTCGCGCTCGTGGCATGGCCAATGCCTAGCAGCACTCCCATTGCGAGTGGCCGAGTGACGGGGTCCTGCTCTGCGAAAGGCTTTCATGAGGTACCCTCCCTCGAAGAAGCATGGAAGTAGAACGTAGACCCATTGGTTCTGGGAGTAGATGAAGTGGATGAAACCTGATGAACCGCCGCACTTGATTGACAAAACCTGATGGTACTTCTCGACGGAGGGTTCAATTCATCAACAGTTGATTTGAAGGAGCCGGAAGTTTAAGATCGGGACTATGGCATGGGGCTTTCGGGGTTCTTCGGCACAAATCAAAGGAAGGGTCACTCACTCCCCAAGTAATTCTTAGATTCTTACTGTAAGCCATTGGTGTGTTATCACATAAATCAGATTCTGACTCTTAATTATCAGCTTGGGTCTGCCTAAGAGCCGTGGTCGATCCAAAAGCCTATGGCTTCAAGCAGACTGCTGATGATACAACAATCCAAAGTACGCTGCACAAGCGATCTGACCGTACGTACTTGGACTCTGTCACATCCAGTGCTGATCAGGGAGAAGAACAGTCTACAGTATATTTACCAGGGCCTCAGGAGAGGGGTTTAAGGGGGTTCCATTCACCACGGTGTCCGCTTCAAATGCTTCAGGTTTCTTCTATCTATTTGAGCATTTGCCACGGGATTACCCACAGCATCCCCGGGTGAGAACCAACTCATCGCATCGGAGCATCCGTCCGCCTTCGGGCTCTGCCTCCACCACCCCGGAGGAAAGCATCCCACTGCCACCTGGCGGCCACCAGGACCCATCAGCCCAGCGATATATATTGATCATCTTGTTTTCCGGAGCGACCGTTTTTCCTTTGCTCAGACAACAACGTGGTTCCTGAATTTCAGGTTGAACTCATGGATTTCACCAGATCGACTCACCACCAATCCACAAAGTTCTCTTGATGTTGCCTCTAGCCGATTCTGTGCTGGTAAAACAGGCCAGAATCCCTGACAGGTGTATGCGTGAAGCAGAGTTTAGAGATGTTGTCATCAATCCAACCAAAGGTTCCCTGAGTGAACTACAATAACCTTTTGCATATATATATATCCCCAACTTATATACAAATCACAACATTGTGTTTCCTTCATCCAACCGTTTTCCCCAGTCTTGGAGTGGAAGAACCTCCCGGTCGCCACGGCACCTGTGCTGCCCAAGTGTAGCGGCGGCACCACCACGCCCGCGGCTGTCGCTACACGGCGGCCGCCCGGGTCGCGGGCGTCGCGCGCGTCGCCGCGTGCAGCGCCTGGCCGCCGCTGGAAGTTCGAGGCAGGACTCAAACGTCCTAACATCCCAATCTGACCAACTGTTCTTAGATTCTAAGATTTGAGATGTAGTCCAGCCCTAGCCCCAAGTCAAGATTTCCATGTAAGATTATAGTAGCACAGCTAGAGCTGAGTTCATTTTTGATTACAACAGAATGTACGGTAGTATTATCAAGTGGTTTGCAATTGTTTCATGTAGTTAAACGGGCAGGAGTTGCAGTGTCCAACTGTGAAGTATACAAATTGTTTCTGGACAAGACGAACCCGGCCTGGAAATGTCACGTGCATTATCTTTTGCATGTGCATCATGTGCAAACCAATGCATCCGTCTACGTCCAAAGTTTGGTTAAAACTTGATGTGGCAATCTTGATGTGCACCAACAGTGAAAAATAATGAACAAGACCCTGCATCTGCGTAAGAATGAACAACTTTTGCAAATGTGTCAAAAATGCATCATTGAGTTTCAAGGGTTGATTTCAAATTCACAAATGTTCATAGATGTTCATAGCATTGTCATCACATTTTTACCGGTTGTGCAAACCAACCACATAGTGCATTGTTTTTGCTGCACATCTTCACAAGCACAATATAGTTGTATGTTTATCAAAAAAACAAGCTGTTTCCCTGTTGGTCCACGTGAAACATACACGGATGGTGTATCCAGGAAACCCTCCAAGATTAAACATTATATAATATTCATGCAATTGAACACAGGCTTTCAATTTGCTGAGAAAGCAGGTTCTGATAAGGTTATTGCCGTAAGGCAAAACAACTATGTAATCAATATAATAGAGTGAGGCATATAAGAAAAAGACTTGGTGTGGCAAACTTCACTGAATGTGCACAAAGACATGACATCCTTTCCTGTAACATTTCAAACAAAAGTGACATACCAAAAGCAACGCTTCGTTCAAGACAGCATTTTGATCAAGACTTGTGTTTCCAAAGGCAACGAGTACAAAACAAACATTTCCGCATCCTGCATGATTACAAGCCCTTGCCATCCCTGCAGCTTCGATCTCGGGATCGCCGAACAAGGCTCAAAGCCCTTGACACCGTCACCATGCTAGGCACCGAACAATACATTCATGTGGCTGGTATCTTATCTCCCCGCCTGACAGGGTTGGGGTAGCTAGAGTTTAGATAGATAGCCCAACCTATCGTGACCTCTGCTTCTTCAACGCATCACCCAGTGCAATGACAAACACAAAAATAATAAGACTGACAAACCATCACACTGACAACACACACACAATGACAACAAATATATATATATATGTATTATTTATATATACTATATACCAAGACCCTCCAAGAGGTCACCACTGGTTTTTTGAACATGTGTTTCCTAAGAGGTTACTACAAACGACCTCTTAGATTTCTTGGGAATGTCCCCTTCAAAAAATCAGTGGTGACCTCTTGGAGAGCGTTTTGTTGTGTGTGTGGTGTCCTCCAGTCCATTTCCCCCAAATGTGAGGAACATACAATGAAGAGCAATGAATCCTTGAGAGATCTCATACAAGGGTTTGATTTACTTTCCTCACATTTTGCCCATCAGAGATAGAGCACAGCCTCTGCCACCTCTTTGTCCTGGAGCTCGAGCAGGAGGTCCATCCGGCACGCTTGATGCGCCAACAACAGAAGCTGTGTTGTTCTTCAAGTTTGGAGGAGGGTCTGCCAACACTTGACTATCAACTTGTAAGTTGACGCAACCAGCGTACACAGGTGTACGCACTGTACCGTTGAAGTACAGTGTACCCCAAACCTAAGGGACTGGACATCATTGCCAGTCGCTTCACACGGCCCACGCTATCTTCATCGAGATAGCAGCTGGCATGCATAGGTGACACACGAGAAGCCTGATCCCAGACCACATGGTCTAACCTAAGTTGTCACACAAGAGTTCTGTGGTTCCCATGTGTTTCACACATTGCTGAAAACATACAATGACCAAGAAACTTGTGGTACTTTGGTCTGATTTTCCAGAGCAATTTGTTATCTTGTATCGATTGAAGTGCAAGACCTTGAATCTTCAGCACACATAAATCAAAACAAACATAAATCACGTTGACAATGACAATAACATTCGGTTTGGTCCTAGGTGCTGTTGTGGGCTGCACGGAACAAATATGCACTGCGCTGTAGTTGCTCCAGGTTGCTCCGGGTTAATGATAAATGCCGACTAGCATTCCGCGACTTGCTCATAGCATTTCTCATCAAACAAAGGTTCAAAAACACTGCGGCCATAAGCCTCAGGCTCAGGCAAGAATTCCTGCTCGGAATTCAAGAAAAATAAAGACACACCAAGTGACTGCATGTTCTGATCCTCGGGGTAGTCATCTGCCAGCTTGAGGGTCAGCTTGTGCAACCACCATGCCAGGATCACACACTCCTGTAAATCAACTGCAGCCTTTGAACTTGACTGCAATGCAAACATAAACTCAGAAGCTAAGCCAAGAATCTGATCCATTCATATGCTTCTGCGCAAAAGTCGGATATGAATTTGGGCCATTAGGATATAAATTCTTCCTGATTTGTCAAAGATCTGACACAAATTCCTTTTAGCTACTAAACTTGATCAGATCATATCAGATCAATGCAGCAAAGTGTCACTGAGAAGAATTGCCCCCTATTTCCTCAACTGAAGAAAGCAACCCCACATTATGATAGAACAAGAAGGCGGAACATATCACACCAAGGCACTGATCCGACAGTCACGGCAAGCTTTGCTGAACATCACAAAGGCCTGCTGGAGCTTTGCATCTGCACTGCCAGATCCAAAGATTTGGGATGGATGTGAAAGAAGCTGAATCCTTACATCCATGCACAGAGGAAAAACTAGCAAAGGGAGTACACACAATGATGGCGACATGTGTTACAAACAAGTTTCAAGGCTGATGCACTGCACTCAGGGATGATGCAAAGGTCAGTAATGTGGAGCCAGTCGTATGTCACCATCTCAATGGAAAATCCAGGCACAGCTGTCCAGGTTTGGCATTGAGCCACTTGCTCAATGAAAGTTGTTGTGGACACCAATGTATTCCGATGTGGTGCGTTCGGGCCAAAGCTTGTATACAACAAACGAGAACTGTTGACTGAAGCGGCACAATGTAAGCATGGGTTCTTACTGACCCAAGAAGTCACTGTCCGAAACGTGCGCTGATGCCACTTCTCGTCCCCCTTCACCATTGCAAGAACACACTTGAAGCCACCGCAAATATCCCCAGAGCGATTGGGATAGTTGGATGGAAAAGGTGCACCCCAAGGGTCAACCTGACTGAAGCTTCCCTGCTGCAGTTCAGCCAGACTATGCGCAACCCATTTTTCCAAAGTAGACGCCGTATCTGGCGTTGCCACACTGTTATCCAGGCAAAACACCAGGAACTTGTTGTCAAACAGCTGGCCTGGAGGTACCGTCAAAGACCCAACTGTCAATATGCTAAATGTCCGGCGCCGATGGGAATCTGCTTCATCCCCATGGATTGCCAAGGGGATTACCCTGCTCAAATCGGTTGCCTAAAGTAGGACACAAGAAATGAAAGGTGGAACTACACACCTCTCAACACATCCAATGTAGCAACCAAGCAGCTGGATCCGACAATATTGGATGGCATTTAAACCATGCAGTTTCCCTGTGGCATTCCCAAAACTCAGCGATTGCCTTAGTTAATTGTCTATGATATATGCATGAGTTACTGTGAAGGTCCACGGCATTATAAAGGTCAAAATTTGGATCAGGGCACACCATCTGGCCCGACCAACTTCTCTTGAAAGAGATCCACACTGTACTTGTATACGTGTGATATCCTGAAGTATGCACAGGCCTAACTCAAACTACAAACTGAAATTACCACATTGCTCAAATTGACAATGCAAAGAGCCAAGCTTCACATCACTCGGAAGCATTACATGCCAAGAGGACAGATATACTGGTTGCGCTCGTGATAAGTCTTGCAATAGGACTGGGACCCTTGGCCAATTGAACAAGTGCCCAAGGAAAGTCCAAACAGTGAAGCAATTTGCAAGAACACAGGCAAGGTGCTCTAGTGGAAGCGGAAGCATTCTCCTCCATTCTTGCTTGTTTAGCCATCTCCAGAACGTGCGAGCATGGTTCTTCTCATCGTTGGCGTCAAGAAGATCCACAAGTTGCCGGAGGTTTCTCCTGGCCAAGGGAAAGATCCACAAAGTGTTTGATCTGTTTGTTTGGCGTGGAAACAGTCTGAACAAAAAATGCAACCATGCATCGGAAGCATTCTACCAGGGATCCGTCTCCGGAGAATCACAAAGAGACCCACAATGGTTACCACACTCACCTCACAAAAATATGGTCGTCTTAAGTGTTTATGTAGAGCAGCACAACAATCTCTACTGTGTTGGATCGAGGCACTGCTCGTGTCAGCTCCAGGAACTCCTCCACCAGATCCATGGTAGACAGGCATCAACAACGATGCAATCAAATTATAGTCATCGCCCAGGATCGATCAAACATTTGCAGTTGTTGTCCCATGGGAGTATTGGACTTGTTTTTTCAAAATTTTGGGATCAAGTGAAATCAGATTGAAGGTTGGGAGAGGGATAGACAATGTTTTGATTGCACATGATTGAACATGTTTCACGGAGTTTAAGTACAGTGGCTGAATTAAAGATGTTCGCAGTCTGCAGTTCATTGCCCTTTGGAAGTCATGAAACAAAGAACAACATCAGCTGCAGTTTGAATCAATGGTGCGCCACACCTACAGTATGGTATACATATGCAAATCAGGCTGTGAGTCGATGTTGTGTTCCTTTTTTTCCACTCCCCCCCTGCTGTTTCCAGTCAAGGATCCATCATGTGGGGTCAAAAGGTCTCTATTATAGGACCACCCCAGTGCAAATTTGCAGCCAATGCTGGTCATGCAGCATCGCCCGTAGTGCAAGCCAGGCCACGAGAAGAGGGCACGACAACGTGCCACTTGGTTCCAAGGGAAAGGCAAGGGCGAC